AATGGTACAATCGAATGGACATCTATCATCCAGCGAAGAGATCTTATCTGTTGTCACACAAGAATCAGTTCTGGTTCCAAATGTTTTTCTTCTGTATATAAATGATCTGGCTTTCATTCCAATTAGAGGAAACTCTACAATTTTGCAGATGACACTACATCCTCCGGCATGAAAAAACCGCCCAGCAATTGAAATATACTATCACTAGTGATATTGAAATGGTAAAAAATGGTGTGATTCCAATTACTTATGTTTTAATACAAAGAAATCGAACGTATTTACCTTTATTACCTTCTGTGATGATTTGTGCCTGAACGGACAAACTTTAGAGAACAAAAATGATTCAAAATTCCTAAGAATATTCACTGATGACAAACTGAGATTTGTTCTGCATATTAGAGCATTGATTGAGGCTAATTCAAGTATGGAATTGTCTCCTAGGGATTTTTTAGTCAACAATTACTGCAATCAGTATTTGTCCTACAAAAAAGGGCAGTTAGATATCTATGCAAAGCTCGAATGCGTAACACCTGAAAACCATTATTTATCAGCAAGGGCATTCCAACTCTCCTGCATATTTATTTTAGAGTCTGTATGTCTGATACACAAAAACCCTGATACACTTGATACCCCAAAACCAAGCAGTCAAAAGAAATATGTTACAAGGCAAATATCGGAGAATAATATACCTCTCCCTATTCCGAAATCTACTTTGACAAAGGACTCTCTGATTTATGGAAACAAAAAAATAAATAAACACGTACCGTCTGAAATTAGGAATGAGAATATTTATCAAAAATTCAGAGAAATAATGGAAGAAGCTCTACTCAAAACAGAATTCTATAATCTCGAGGAATTTTACACTGAAACTCTGCTATGATGTTGATTTCATGTGATTATTTATATACCCACCCATTTTATCTATATTTGACAAATGTTTATTTTTTTAATGATTATTATAGGTTTCTTCTACTTTTGTGAATATTTTGTATGTTTGAAAAACACTAACATTTTTTTCCAACATGCTTTGTCAATAAGAACCTCATTTCTGGGATAATGAAGTATATTTTATTTCTCTCTTTCTCTCTCCTTATCAGTTTGCATTCCACACATTTGTTATGGAATTGAATCAGATATCATTGAAAGGATTGTAACACAATATTATATACGAAACAGGTGAAACTTTACTAACATGGAACACAGCCCGGAGTGATGCTGAAAAAGCAAAAGGATCAAAAAAATTGGAAAAAATTACAAATTCAGTACCTAATGCCAAATGTGATAGATGCATACACTCACCCACAGAGACGGTGTAGATACTTACTTCTCTTGATATATTCGATTGAATACGTAATTCATGGATTTTCAAGTATTGGTCAATTCCATCTAGATTTTTTTTTCGAAAAATTTGAGAGATATAAGTAAGTTGCGATTTTTGAAAAACGAATCTGTTTAAAAAAAATCTGTTCCAAATCTGTTTTTCCGTTAACCAGCTGTCGCACCCCTACGAACGACAACCTTCAGAAGCTAAGGATTGAGCTAAGGATTAACGAGGTCTTACCTTTTAACGTGTGATTCCTAACACGGAAAACGAATGGGGAGAGTATTTGAGATATACTATAAAAAGTTATTTAGAATTGAAAATTATTCTAGCATTCTCCAAATTACATATCACCACATATTTCTACAAAATGGTGAGATGAACACCCAAGTTTTGTAAAGGATAACTAAGATCAATATTATTCTGAAACAAACGTTTGGTGCGATATATTCAATGATAAATCAATATTGCTTCGTTTTTCGACAGAATTCAAATAGTAATACTTCAAATTCTGTGAAATATATAGGTATTTAATCATCACTTTGCAAAAACGTTACAGTTTGTAATACCGATATAATGAATGACGTGCCCACCAGTAACATTTCTCAATAGATGAATAGGAAATTTGGTGGTTAATGATGAGGACCTCTGATTAGTCCAAAATGGCCTCCTTGTTCTCTGGACCTTACACAACTTAATTTTTAATACGGAGATATTTGAAACAAAACCTTCACAATGATTGACCTTCCACTATAACATTTTGTTGTAGAAATATTTCTGCGGTATTGCGATCTATTTCAAATGAATTATCTGAACAATAGCTCCTCTGAAAATTTAAATTTTTCAATCAAAAGTAGGCATTTTCCCAAATTTCAATTTCTATTGAAATTTCTATTTTTAACTAATTATCTAGCTATCTCACTTGTGAATTCAGATTTTGATCAAAATTCAGAATTTTCCCAACTTCTTATCTCTCGAGAATTTTCATCAACTAATCCTCTAGAATCCACTACACTAAAAATTTCAGTTTTTCAATCAAAATTAGTATTTAAAAATA